ATAAAATTTTTAAATTCCATTTACTTCTATATGTAAAACCCATCTTTTCTGCTTAAATGTAAATCCTCTGAGGAATAGGACATTCAATCTGAAAATCTAATCTGTTTCCTAGTCTTAAAAATCATTTGACAGCTCTCCAAATGCAAAGTACACATACATTTTGAAAGTTAACCTTCAGGGAATATAAATAGAATAGAGAGAAGCACCTTGCTGTCTCATTATGTGTGGGAATGGCATAAATTGGTTCAACATCTATTAAGATTTATCTTTCAAAACTAATACTCTGCAGTTCGAAGGTTACTGAGATAGGTTCTCTTCACAACTTGACATGTTTTATCATATCTCAAAAGTGTCTTAAGAATTCACATATTATCTGATGTTTATCTAGGTTATTGGCCTTTTCCATTCATAGCCAATCCAACCTATTTCTTGTCAGAAAAAAATTGATAAAACCTAAATAGCATTCAAGAATCATTTTCCAGTAATGTGAATATCCCAATGGCCATGCAGTAATAAATTTTTGAAAACTGTTGTATTTAAAAGAAAAAAATGCCTGTCATCAGAGACAGGCTTTCTCAGTAGCCAGCTAGGTACTAAGAAATATTTAACTCTAGGTTAAATAGTGTCTTTAAATATGTCAATTCAAGAAATACAATGTGGACAGAAAAGTCATTATGGAATGAGTATGACAATAAAGGCAGCCAATGTGGATAACCAAGGTCCCAAATATTTTGGTCTAGAGCAGTGATGGCGAACCTATGAAGCGTGTCAGAAGTGACATGCGAACTCATTTTTTTGGTTGATTTTTCTTTGTTAAATGGCATTTAAATATATAAAATAAATATCAAGAATATAAGTCTTTGTTTTACTATGATTGCAAATATCAAAAAATTTCTATATGTGACACAGCACCAGAGTTAAGTTAGGGTTTTTCAAAATGCTGACACGCCAAGCTCAAAAAGTTCGCCATCACTGCTCTAGAGTGTAGGGAACGGCTATAGGGTTAAGCCTAGGATTGACCTGTTGGCAAATCCACAAACAAGTCCCAGATTAGAAAGCACAGCCCTCTTAACATAATTAGGCTTGACCTTATGATGCTCCCTAGATCTTATCTGGGTAGCTAATGGGCTGAAGGAGATGCAGCAAGTGCTGCCAAAACAAGTGAAACTCACAAGAATGTTGTAACTATGGTGACCACTACCTTGTTTACCTCTGGCTATAAAGTAAAGGCTCAGCTTGCCTCTGGATCTCTCTCTGTGGCCTCAGCCAGGCACAGGAAGATCCACCCAGCTTATTCTCTTTGTCTGTCTTTTCTACATCCTTTGCCGCCCCATCTCAGGCTCACCGAACCCTTGGCTGTGCTGGCCTGCCACACTAATGTAGAATCTCGGCCGAATTTCAATATTATAATTTCAGCATTCTATTAAATTTTGCATTCATAAATAGATAAAAATGATAACAGATTACCTTTTCCCCTAAAGAAACATCCATATACAACTGGCCAGATGCATCTGTAGGTTCTGTATTTGCAGATCCAACTAACCAAGAGTCAAAAGTCTTTTTCTTTTTAAATGTTGCATTATTACTGACATTTACTATGTAGTTAAGCCTACAATTATTTAATATATACTAAACATGCAAAGACTTTTTCTTGTCATTATTCCATAAACAATGCAATATAACATTTATTTACATAGCATTTACATTGTCTTGAGCAATATACATAATCTAGAGATAATTTAAAGTATATGGACTTAAGTATCCTAAGTATAGTATCAGCAGGGAGTCCTGGAATCAATCCTCTGCAGCTACTGTGGGACAACTGTAATTATTTTTTGTCTCAAGTGAAAGAAATTCTGATAAATGGTGAATACCTGAAAAAAAAAAAAAAACACCAAACATGTGGAAGAAAAATGTGATTCTTTAACTTTATCCCTGTTATATCCAAAGAAATGAAATTGATAATAAAACCCTTGGTCATCTATGCCTTCATAAAAGGCAGGGGAAAACATTCATTAGGAGGTTAATTATCACCTCAGAACTCAGAAATGTCTTGTTTATTTGTGTTTGTGACCAAGTTGCCCCTCCCTACACCCTGGTGTATGGCCTCGTTTTCACTTGTATATTTTTCACACTGTAAATTTCTTGTACAAACCGAAAGAAAAAAATTAAAAATTTTTTTTTGATTTTTATAAAAAAACAACAACAAAACCAGGAAGTGGTTGTGATACTAATATTTTCTAAATGTCATAGAAACTTAGAAACAAATAAAGATTAAGTTCTCTCTTCCAGAGATTTTTGAGTTTTCATTCATTAAAGTAATCCAGATTTTGTAATGATATCATTATTTTTATCCTTAAACATTATCCATTCCTTCTTCCAGAGAATGATGAATGCTGCTCAGAGATGAGTTCTTGAAACCTTGCGTCAACCTGAATAGAGGAGTGTGTCTAGCTGACCCAGTGAGTAAGGACACTGCAGTCAGCCACAACATGGGCTCAAGGGATCAATTTCCTGTCTTCAAAAATATACATATTCCTGATGTTCACTGCAGGTACCACAATCAAACATTAGGGAGAGAGACTTAAACAATTTTCTAAGAAATAAGGTTTTTGTTAGCAGCCATTTGAGATTGTAAAGGGATGTTCTTAGGAAAAACACCATCTGGTTAAAATAATGAAACAATTTTATAAATAAAAAATGTCAAAAAAGATCTTTTAGTTGGCTCTTCTAAGTATCCAAAAAATATCTATGTCTAGATTACTAACCAATATACATCTACAGTAAAAGTATTATATAGAATTATGCTAAATCAGGCCTATAGGTAATGTATTTATATATTACATGCCTATCCAGTTATTCTTTTCCAGTATCTCTTATGTAATATTCTTTTGAAATGTATTCAAGGGTTAAAATATTTTCAAAAGAAAGACCTAATAAATAAGAGAGTAAACTCTAATAGCAAGAGCTCCATTTTAGTTACTTTTCTATTGGTCAGGGAAAACTTATAAACATGTGTATTTAAATAAGCCATTTGGCAAATATAGTAAAAATGACTGAGGTATTTGTAATCCCTTACTTAAGGAGTATAAGAGTTTAGAAATGGAAGAGAAGAAGTGAAAAAAATGGAGAAGGTTGGGATTTTTAGAAGGACTTAGAGCTAGTAAATTATGTGCCAAATTTTTACTCTGGAAAAAGTAAATCTCATAATATTTTTAGCAATTCTATATCCAAACATCTGATCAAAGTTGAACCTTGAAGTGGGTAGATGAAATTAGGGTATGAAACCACAAGAAAAAAATTCAAAGATAAGAAACTTGACATGTTAGTGTAATTCATCTAAAAACTCAGTCATGTTGAGACCCCAGTTCAGTAAGAAATGTTAGCTCTGCTTAGTTAAGAGAATATTAGTGCATTCTAACAGATAAGAAAATCAAGGCTCACCCAAGATCCTAAAGTAATAAAAGGCAGAATTGAGATTTTGGGCATGCACTATTATAATTAGAAATCAAGTGGGGTCCCATGATAGAAATCTAGTCTTCCTAAGTACCTTGCAGTTTAGTATAGAAAATGGGTAATCATTAAATGCTGATGGACAAAAATATATAGGGTCCCCAGAAACACCATTTGAACATCAAGGAAATTAAAAGATTTATCCAAATCTTTAACCATATCTCCTCCATAACTCATATAACATAAGATTTTGTTTTTTTCTTTGTATGAAACACTACTTTCAGAAAAGTTAAATAACAAAAAAGAAACCTTTCAGATTACTGGCCTAAGCATGTAATAATATACCCTCATGAAACTCACCCTTGATGACTAACCTTCTGTCCACTTCCCCCAATGTATTTCAACTGGAATAAAATCTAAAAGCATTCATAGTGTGTCAAATTAAGGGACTCTATTTTTAAAGCTAGGAAGAGGCATATCTGTTCCTTGGTGGCTTTATGATAAGTTGACTTGAAAAAATTTTCTTTTTTGTTAAGGTTCTACCATTAAAAAAAAATGTACCTTTTAATAATTGAGATAACAAAGGGATGAGAAGAAAATATAGGAAAATATAGTGACATTCTGTATTTTTATTTGTTACATGTAGCAATCCAATTCACTAGAGGAAAATGTAAACTCTTCAGGAAATGTAGTGGTGAGTATTCAAGGTAATTTGGATTTTTATATAGATATCACAGATGTTAAGTGCATGCCCAATAGATAATAATCTATTTAGGAAATAAACATCAGCCTATTTTTTAAATATTTATATGTTTCACTTTATGCCTAACTATTCTCACTGAGCTAAAATAATTTATACAGCTACAAACATGCAAACTTTACCCATGGATGTAATTCAAGCAAGTGCAAGTATCACCTGTCAGTTGGCTGTTATGAAAACAAATTATAATTAATTAAAACAAACTTAAATTAATCCAATTTCTTTAAAATTCTCTGCAAATACAGTACAGCTCTTTGAGAAATAAAAACTAATTTGACTTCCATTACTCCTAATTAGCATTTGTTAATAAGGCAAGAAGTTTTATACAAGCTGTAGCATCTCTGCTTTTAAGAGTGGAAAAATTGACTATTATTGAATTTAAAACAAAATTAGTTAAGCTTAGGTGACTTGCCTCAAATGACCCACAATGGCTACTCTAGAATGTAATCTTACTGAAGAAAAAAATGTCTTTTTGTTCCCAAATATCCCACCCCAAGGACTGTCAAACTGTAAATTGATATTTCATGATAGCTTGAATATCTTCTTATTATATAAGAAATCAACATGTAATAGAAAAAGTTTTGTCAGCTCCTTCAATTTAGCAGATTGAAGGAGCTGACAAAAGTATAAAAGGTCTTCTATACTTTCAGATAATAATGGAAAAGGAGAGTCATTTATGCCTAATACCTGGTTAGATTTTAATTCCCATTTTACATTTATTTTGGGCAAAGGAAACGACTTAAACACCCTGTGCGAATGCACGGGATTGTCAGATTTCCCTCCTCCAAATGTTGCAATCACAGCATTCAGGAAGCTGTGCTTACCACTTTTGTTGCTCAGTCACATAATTCTTCCTCTCTTTTCTTGTTCAAAGGCTTTTGAAATCCTCTTCCTTAACACATTTTCCCATGACTAAGAAATACAAAAGAAAGAAAGTTAATCTCTCTGCCCCTAGTGTTTCTCTTGCTAGCACATTTCTCCCATGCAGTAAAACCACCCCTGGATTAGTGCTTGTAGCACTTACCTATCAGCACTTGCATAAAGTGAGCTATACACTCATGCAAAATAGATGCTGACTTTTTAGACTGAAGAACCACGTTGAGCCTGGACATTAAATCTAAATAGAGCTTTGTGCAACAAACACATTTTACAATATCAGGATTCATGTCACTTCATTGCCCCATCAAGATATGAGAAAGAAGACCACAGCATAAATTAGGAAGTTATTATTTGAAAGATGATCCTTTGATTCAACTTTGGTGAATTAAAAAAAATAAATTAAAATACATTTCAGCAGGGACATGGCATCTGGTCTATGAAAATCCTCACCAAAAAAAATTATTTCAAGGATCTCATTTCAATCTCTTCAACATTAAATATTTTATCTGCATATTTTAACAAACATGAGCCCTATCATAATTTCTATAAATTTACATCAATCTTAAATTGGACATTATTAGAACAAGTATATGTTTTTGGCTTAGTATTTAGATACAGAACTAAGGCATCAAATGACAGAACTAAGTCACATTCTTATAAATATATTATAGTTCAAATCTTCCTAAAATCAACAGAAAGGAAAGACCACATTATTGATATTCATGTTAATTTTGTTCTAATTTCCAAAGCTATTCGTTTTATTTGTTAATAATTCTTTGGCTAACGGGTTTAGTCAAATAAAGTAAGTTTATAATAGTTCTCTCAGTTATGTACTTAACACTACTTAAGAAAAAAAGTATGCTAACTTGAGGATAGGATAGTAAACTGAAAAACAATAATGGAATTGCTACATTTTCTTCCCTGTTTTGACCATTAAAAGAAAAACCTCTCTTCACACTGCTCTGGATATTAACTAGTAGTCTGGTATATATTACATCATAAAACAGTTAATATTTTTGTGCTTCCTCTCATGTTATTTTCTACTTGACCTTAGTAACTAGCCCATGTCCTTAAGAATAGGTAAAGAAAATATCCACCTGGTTAATAAGAAGATTGAAATTTGGTGACTTCTAGACAACAACTTTTAATTTTCTCTGTTATTATATCTTATAAAACCTGGGAACATTGCAAAAATAAACATTTTATTCCAGTTGGTTTTGGGTAGGACCAGTAATTGCACATTTCCAGTGATCTCCTGGGAGATGTCAATGCTGCTTTTAATTGGACCATGCTTTTAATTATAAGGTTCTACTCACATTAGGAAAATATTCAATTTTAATTTCCTTAAATTTACACTGGATATAATGTTTATAGAGTCATATAATATTAACCCACGACAACAACAGTATCCGAAAAGAAAAAAATCATACAAAGGAAAATATAATAACTTCAGTGTTTGTCAAATGCTTTTTTATATACTTTGAACATGTTCTGCATATCCTAACTGTGCACCTACTTCAATAGCCAAGACTTTTCACCTACACTAATCCTGTCTCAACCACAGGTTTCCTTGCCTCTTGCTCATTTATTTATTTTTATGTTTTCGTTGTCCACAAGTACTCTCAGTAGCTCAGCAAGAGCTCCTCTCTCAATTCACAGCCATGTGCTGCTTAAGTAATAGCAGTACCCCTTCGTAAAATTCAAAAAATGAGCATTTTTAAAAGCATCTCTCCTGAGTTCTTACCAAAAGGTGCCACTTCTTTCAGATCATTGTTGAAACCTGACTTGGAGAAATATTTGCCTGATTTCATGCAGTGTATTCATTCAACTTTGCCACGATGTTATCCATTAAGATTACTTTTCAAAAAGAAAAAATTATTGGAAATCATAGTCTAACAATTCCACCTGAATAAATTATATTGTTTAAAAAAAATCAAAGTTTTATCATTGTTACATGCATCTATGTGCACTGGCACACAATACACACTACATTTACAGATATGGAGAGCTTAAAGAGTAGAATGAGAAAATTAAACTATTAATGGCAGAAATATATAATAGAAGATTATACAGCCCTAGTATTTCCTAAATAATGTTTCCTTGTATCTGAAAGTAATACTATTTGGAGGTAAATATGGAAAAATGGTTAAAGATGTGTATATTGAAATAAGAGAATCTGAGTTTGAATTCTAGTTCTATTATTCAGTAGCCATGTGACATAGGACACTTAACCATCCTGATTCTCAGTTTCTTCACAATACTTTCTGCTTCAAAAAAGTGTATTAGCTTTTGGTTCACAGCAAAAAAAAAAAAAAAAAAAAAAAAATCACATAAGCATAAAACATTAAGCATTATTTTCTCACTGATAGGTCTATAGCAGTGGTTCTCAACCTTCCTAATGCCGCAACCCTTTAATACAGTTCCTCATGTTGTGGTGACCCCCAATTTCATTATTACAAAATTGAACATAATTAAAGCATAGTGATTAATCACAAAAACAATATGTAATTGTATATGTGTTTTCTGATGGTCTTAGGCGACCCCTGTGAAAGGGTCGTTTGACCCCCAAAGGGGTCGCGACCCACAGGTTGAGAACCGCTGGTCTATAGGTTTACAGGTAGGACAAAGAAGTCAATTTGTGGATTAAATACAGGTCAGTTCCATGTGTCTTATGCTGGGGCCAGGAGTGGACAGGCAGCGGCTACCTGGCTACAAGTATTCCTTATAGTAGAGTTCTGAAGTTTTCAGAGTGTTAAGCAGTAAGATGTGCTGCTTCTTCAAAATTCTATACAATAACAATATCACCTTAGCTCACATTTTGTTGGCCAAACCAAATCATATGCCAGGCCCAACTTCAAGAAGATGTGGAGGGAAACTCTTTCCCAATCAGTGGTAAGCAGAGAGGCAGTGACAATTATCTGAGCAATAATCTAATCTGCCCCAATAGCTCTTGAGCATTTTATAACACACTTCAGATGCTTAGAAACTGGGATACAATAAGGACTCAGCAAATGCTTAGAAAAAAAAGAGATTTAGAGGAACACTGAGCAGAACCTAGCTGACTATTCACCAGCCATTTTCCTTTGGCTCTTGAATACACCGCTCAACCACATTTACCAGTTTCCCTTGCATTTAGTACAGCCATTGGTCTGAGTTCTGGCCAATGGAGAGTGGAACAAATCAATTGCTAGACCTCAGTCTGGCTCACACAAAAAAATCTCCCCAACAATCCTCCATGAAGCTTGAAGCCGAGGTCCAGAGAAAGACCCAGAGGATCTAGACAAGGCTGTCCAGCAGAATTTTTCTGATGATGAGAGTATTCTCTATCTGCATTCCCTAATAGTTCATAACCAAATGTAACCATTGAGCACTGCAGCTGAGGAGCTGAATTTTTCATTTTACTAGTAATCCATTTAAATTAAATGACGACCATACTGAACTCTGCAGTTCTAGAAAGGACAACTATTCTAGATAGTATGAGCCTGCAAGGTTGCACGCCAATCATCTGAGTGAGCTGTGACATAAGTAAGAAGTAAAATTTTACCTTGTTACACAACTGGGATTTGGAGATGGTTTGATGGAGCTGTTAATCTATTCTATCAGGAACTATATGTAATAGAGTTAAGCATACAGGTTTTACCTAATTTCAGATCCCTAAAGTTATTAGGGGTTTCTATTTTGTCGCCATTAGTTCAGAATCATCTAAAGCAGTGGTTCTCAACCTTCCTAATGCCACGACCCTTTAATACAGTTCCTCATGTTGTGGTGACCCCCAACCATAAAATTGTTTTCCTTGCTACTCCATAACTGTAATTTTGCTACTGTTATGAATCATAATGTAAATATCTGATATGCAGGATGTATTTTCATTGTTACAAATTGAACATAATTAAAGCATAGTGATTAATCATAAAAACAATATGTAATTATATACGTTTTCCGATGGTCTTAGGCAACCCCTGTGAAAGGGTCATTCGACCCCCAAAGGGGTCGCGACACACAGGTTGAGAACCGCTGATCTAAAGTGAAAGAGGAAGGGGTAAGAAACCCATATCAGCATCTTGATTGCTAAACTCCTTCCCTCAGCTCTAAAAATGTTTCTCTCTAGGCTAGGGAGGGTTCTAGGAAAGAACTGTTTTTGCACAATCATGTATTTGTTTCCCCTAATTTTGTTGTCTTATACATACCTACATTGTATCCTTTAAAATACGAAAGGCACGATTGTGTTAGGTCTGTGGTTATGTTCTGTTATTCTGAGATTATTCTCCCCTAAACAATGGTGCTTCTTGTGTAACTACCTAGAGTGAGAAACAATAGTGCCTTAATGTATAAGGACATGATATTTAATGCTTTACATTTTTTCAATATTAGTCTTCAACAGTAGTGAGTTAATTTTCTGAACTTAAACATTTAACTAATGACAGTTTAGTGAGTATTCACCCTTGTGTTACTTGCCTATAAAATTTCTTAAAGGATATAGTTTGAGTTTGCTTCTTGCAGGATTTTCCTTTTGCTTATATAGAAAACAGCATCACAAATTTAAAACTTATTAATGGAAAATTTATGCTATAATATAAGTAAATATGGGTTATCAGAATTTACTGTTAAATATAATTGATGTGTTTAATTTATAGAATGGAAAGGGTTTGAGATCATAAATGAGGAGTCTTATTATTTTTCCAAGATTATCAGTGGTATTTATTCATGAATAACCACTCATTCAAATATTTAAGTGAATCTGAGACTTATTCAAAATATTGCAGCCAAAGCAATTATCAAAGCTGTTTCATACCAATTATGATTTTATAGACAAGCTAGCACAAGCCATTGTGCTCCTTGCCATACAGAATTAAAAAATTGGAGACAAAATCATCTCCTGAATTTATAATAAAAGTAATATAGTACATAGCAATGAGTAGTTAGAATTTTGTTGATTTATACTTTTCAAGGTGGCTTTTAAACTCACACTATTCATCTCCCTCAAGTAACTCTGTGAGGATGCACAATGGTGTTTTCTCATTTAAGTGAAGCAG